TCATTATTATATCCTTTGGGCCTAAGTATTTATAGTTCTCGAGAGGCCAAGAGATCATACATTTATACAATTCCTCAAGCATAAGCCTTGTAGGGGCAAAATGTTTTTCTAAGAATAGTTAAAAAGTCAGACATTTACATAGTCCTTAAAGCATAATCCGTGTAAGGGAGAAATAATTTTCTGAGACCAATCAATATGTTAGACATTTACACAGTCCCTCAAGCATGAGCCTCATAGGGAAGAAATGTTTTTTAGCCCGATTAATAATTTCTAGTTGCGCCTCAATAAACAATCCCTTTTGCGGGAGCTTACTTTGATTTTATGAAAGTGGTGGTCTTTGACCACGAGAAACTATTGTCCATTTTTTATCCAATCCTACTCTTCAACTCTTCCACTTATAATATCACTACAAGAAAATTGGCAAATTGCGACGGTTCATTTTGACATATTACGACGGTTTTAACCGTCGCAATTTGTAAGTTACGACGGTTTCAACCCCGTCGCAGAAACGTGCGTTGCGAGGCCGTATTGCGACGGTTGTGAAAACTGTCGTACAAACCGTTGTTATTTTCACGACGGGTAGCTAACTGTCGTAATCTCCATATTGTGACGGTTTTCAACCGTCGTAATTATATTTACTAATTCTAAATATTATTTATTTTCACGACGGATAGCTAACTGTCGTAATCTCCATATTATGACGGTTTTCAACCGTCATAATTATATTTACTAATTCTAAATATTATTTATTTTCACGACGGGTAGCTAACTGTCGTAATCTTCATATTGTGACGGTTTTCAACCGTCGTAATTATATTTACTAATTCTAAATATTATTTATGCTAGTTGCGATGGTTTAAACCGTTGTAATTTTATCTATAGAATTTTTTTTTATAATATTTTATTTTTATTTAAATTACTTTCATCTCATTTTTTTATAATAGTTTTTTTAATTTAAACTATTATTGTTTTTTGGTAATATATCAAATATATAAAGATTCACGTATATCAAATATATAAAGACTCACATATAACAAATATATAAATTTATATAACTTAAAAAACAATTGATATTTCATTATATCTCTTTTCTAAATAACTTATTATATTTTCTACTAAATATATACTTATGAATATCTAAATGATCAAATGTCTTAATCTATAACTTCATATATACAATATAATCAATATAATTGTACAACCTATGATGATCCAAGATATTTTGCCCAATTTTCCACACCAAGTGATGATCCAAGATTTTCTACCGATGGCTGAAGAATTCTTTGGTATGATTTTGCCTTAGAGGATAGACATGAACATCTACAAAAGCTTAAAAATTACTTCCAGTTAGCACCAATAAATAAAATCACTTGTGGTTTTCTAATATCATCATGAGCCCTTCATAATCAGTTTTGTAGTCTTCTAGTTGCTAACTTTCACAACAAACAACTCAGTGTCAGCCAAGATATAACAACCATTACAAATTTTAACTAACATTTCCCTAACAAACTTTATAAACAAACTCCAAACTTCCTATTCTAATCTCACCTCATTCTCTATAAATCCAAAATAATTCACCTCTTATTCAGTCTCTACACAATTTCTTCACTCTCCCTTTCCTCTCCACTCTCTGCCATTTTTCTTCTTCATTCTTCTTCAATTTAATACACCTCCAAATCCTGCAACAACAGAAAAACCAAAAACAAGCAACAATAAAACTCAGTTATGCTATACTCTTGTTGCACTTTTTTCGATCGGAACATTGCCTGTACACGTACCACGGACCTCTCAACACGTTCTTCTGCTTGTTTCCTACCAGTCTTAAAGAAGTCTTCTTCTACATCACTTTCATGCTTCTCATTTATCATGTCTTCAACAGGATTCACCTCAAGCCCGCGAAAACCTTTTCTCTTTAAACGCCAACGCAGAATTGCTTTCTCAAGAATTCCAACAGACCATAAAATCTTCCAATATTGCCTACGCACTTCAAAGCCCCTGAATGCAGCTTGCATTTAACATAAAAGCAATCAAGCTTTTCAAGACTATGTTTATTATTTAGTAGAAAAGAAAAGATTCTGTAAATTGTAGCAACAACTCAAGAAGATGCAACTTTTAGTGAACAAAATTTGTTGGTTGAATATCTCTCAAGATCTGGGAAAGAATTTTACCTACTTTAGCTTCTATTATTTATATTTAGAACTTTAGAGATCACATAGAGAATCAACAATAAAAGATATGGAAAGAGCTGCTCTTACTTGAATTTTTATAGCCTGACGTCGCATGTGGAGAAATTCTTTACGCAACTTCCACGTATGAAATCTATGCTGAATATGAACAACGGCCACCATCGTTTTCCTGGTCTCAAAGTTGCGAAAGGCATGTTGAATCTTCATTGTTGCTACTATTTGGCGAGCTTCCTCCTCCGGGCTGCTAAATTGAACCGATTTATAACGCAATTTCAGCGAGTGCTCTCTAAATGCAGCTTGTATGCACGCTGCTGCTTTAGCTGTTGTTCGGTAAGCTGCCAATGTATCCTTTAGGTACAATTGGTCCTCAGTAAGGTTCTCGGGATTGACTGAATCAGTTGTGGTGGTTTTGAGTGAACCGCTGATATTGTTTTGGAGGCAAATTTTTTGGTCTCTTTGAGTGCAGTAGGTGATACTTTACTAGAGAAAAAGTCAAGGGTCTTTTGCATTCTAAAAAGCAAATGAGAAAGCCTCATCTGTAGTCGAAACTCAATCCAGTTGTATGTTTCTTCCATCGAAGAAGTAGGGTCGTGCAAAATAGGAGTACGATACTCAAAGTTAACAACTTGGCTAATAGGCTTATGGCCATCAAAGCTCAAATAGAGATTTACGAATCCTGGAGAATGCGGCATTACCCAGCATCGGTAAACTCCAACCTGAACAATTTCTGCAGGAACACTTGTTTCACCACAGACGCATACTAGATTGGACTTCGCAAAGTGTTGATAATCATTGTGAAAATATCTAGTTACCAGGACCTGTAAGAAGTAAAGCAACATAAATGTTCAATTATAATTACAAAAGAACGGTAGCAAACACACATATGAAAAAAATAAAAAGGAAACCTTTGTTTTTTCAGTGGAAGAAGCCCATGCAGGGGCCACTTTAGTGAGATGAAACACTTGTTCCGGAAGTGAAGGTTTCTGATTATTGTCTATCGGCAGGGATGAAAACGAATCATGACCAGATGAAGCAATTGATGATTCAAGAGCTGATGCCTCTGCAGAACATGGTATATCAGATATGGCATTATTCATCCATACTCCAAAGTTGTTCTGACTTTGCAAGCCTTCATTCACTAAAGTGTCCTCCACGATATCAGCACAGCCCAAAGTGATCACATGATTCTTCTGAGGGTTAACACATTCTTCTGCAGAAGGACTACCAACAACCTGGTCATAAAAACTCTATAGGTTAGTGGCACCATAACACCATCCATAAAACATAAATGAAATGAGATAGCTCAACATAGAGCAGAATAGATAACAACACAAATGAAAGGAAAAAATATCTTACATTGATAACAGTTCCATTCATTAAGATTTGATTTTGTTGATAGAAATCTGGTTCGTTTCCTGCCAAATTTTAAATTAAAGTATTAAATTGTAAGGTTCTTTCTCTTCTAATAAAGCACATTTGCACAAACAATTACCTCCTCCATTAGGTATAGTAGTAGTATTAACATGAGAAGCCACTAGGTCATCCCAATCAAGTGTATTAATCTCATGTAGCTTCTGTTCAGGACTTCCACCTGTTGAGCTTCTATTTAGTCATGGAAAGAAAACAACAGTATCTATGACAACAATAACAAAATAAAACAACAATTATCTAGATATCAGTTCTCACCATTAGTAAAAGCACTATTGGTTCCAGAATCTAAGTCTTCTGATGGAATCCACGACGTAGTTGGATCAGAAATAGAGCTCGAATTTGAATTTACCGGTGTATAAGGAGAGTTTTGAGACTGTGTCAGTCCGCAGCCTAATGAACTTACCGGTGTAATAGGAGAGCCTTGAGACTGTATCAATTCACAACCTAATGAACGTCAATAAGCCAAATTTTATTCAATAAATAGATCACATGCATCAATCACACACATCCATCAACCATCATGGGACTTGGAAGACAAGGCTCCTCTAAAGTGAGCATGAACGACTATTTTTGTTTAAATTTCATTGTGATTTCAATCCATGAAAATACAAAGATGGATATACTTGCTCGTTTTAGAGATGAATTCACTTTCAATAGAGTTTTTCTAGACTTGGGATACCCTTAAGCACAACAAGGCTATAAAAAATGCATCACTGAACCCAAAAATACGCATGGGGTTTTTCTATCAGGCAAAGCAACACACATCATTATTTGTCCGGTCGAGTTAAATTTTTAAGAGGAAAAGGAAGAAAGAAAATGATTTAAATAAATTCCAGTACCAAACTTCTATAATTTGAAGTAACAGAGATATGTATAAGAAATAAATAATTTGAATAGAAATTTAAAAATAACACAAAAATAGTTCATGAGTATGAATGAATGAAATAAAGCTACCATTGTGAAGCAACATTGACAACAAGGAAAGAAAAAGTATCTCCTAAATATATTGCCTGCCTGGGTACTATGATCACATCTGGTAATTAACTTGGATCAAATGACATCATGATATATCTATGGTTCATTCTAAATCATTGTCATTCTATTGTGTGTTCAACTCAATTGATGCAGAATGAAGGCTCTGCACCCAATTGTTTTACCTTCCCAATTGTTTTATCTATGGTTCATTCTAAATCTCCTCAACATTCATTCTTAGCATGGATGAAACTGATATAAGCAGTAACAAAATCATAGACAAAATATGAGATAAGCAATTCCATGGTGAAGAACATATTGAAAATATGCCTTATGGTATATTGAACCTTTTATATACAAACTATTACATTCAGATAAGTATATTGAATTAAAAGGTTTTCTGGTGGAAGTTTACATGGGAAATGCAAAGGACCGCGTGCTGGTAGTGCTACTGTCGGATCGAATAGAGATGCTTCCAGAATAAGGTATAGACCCTGAGTAACTTATACGACCTGATACTACGCCTGCGGCAGAAAAACTTGACTCGCCTAAGTCACTTCGAATCTGACTTGTTTCAGCAGGTTGAATTTCAGAAAAATCACCAGAAGGACCTTCAATGGTAGTAAGAGGAAGTTGAGTTTCATCACAGTTACAACCACCAAATTGGTGAAGTTGCTTTTTGACACAGACCGCAGGAGCTGAAGGCCCAAACTGATAATCACTTTCCGGTTCATCAACGGTTAATCCTAAAGTGGGACTTGCCAATACTTCTTCCTCAATCATATTACTTGAGTCTTTCAACTGAGAGTGCGAATTATGTTCAACGGAAAGCTGCAGAACAATGCATAAACATCACTGTTATTTCCCAATTCCCATCACATTTATGCATGCACTACAACACACACAAACAGATGACAAATTTCCAAATGAAGACATGACAATTTAGGGAAACAATATTTTCTCCTTAGTTGAAAGTTTTAAAATATTCGTTATATACAAATAGATATTTTTCTTAAGCATTGAAATCTTCAGCAATTGATTGATTATTTCAAAAAAGCATTGGAGTATGTTTCCAAAGAAAGTACCTGTTCATCCTTGCCACCAGTAGGTATAGAATCTTGTGTGTCTTCACGTGAATCCATCGCTTTGGTGAAGTTATCGACAAGTTCTTCAATCTCACTGTCATCTTTATGAATTACATCATTGTGCTGATCATGATTAGAAGATGCCTCGTCAGAATCATCAGTTTCTGGTTGATTTAACACCTTCATACCAGTGTTATCTTTTGGATTTCGATTATACTCAAAATTCTCCAATGGGAAGAAATTATAAGCGGCTCCATCAACACTTTCGTCAAACATGAATTTATGCTTAGCAAAAGCCCCTTTATCAAAGCATATATCCTTCACAACATGGTAACTATTCTCTTTGTAACAAACTTCCATTTCTGGTTCACACTCGACAACAATTCGGTCCACAAAGACATCTATTGGATTCTGAAATTTATTGACTCGCTGAGGATTGGAGATTGGCGCATCGACGGACTTTTTAACTGATTCTTTATCATTTGCAAACATCATAAATGATCCAATATCCTTTGAAGAATGAGATACAGGCTCATGTGAGTCCATTACCTATGTTTTGTAACCCTTTTTCAAATCAACAATGCTGTCGTATGAATCGAAATCCTGTTCGTTCTTCTTCACATTCTTTGAGTCTCTGTTGTCATATTCCTTTGCCTTCTGATTCCACGATTTGAAGCTAGGTGAGTTTTGATCACTATCATTACCTCTTACACCGACAACACCTCTCTGTCCTAACAGATGAGCCGTCTTCTCATCAGACTCAACTTTCACCTTCATAGCAGAACATGTAATCCGCTTGAAACTCCTTTCCCGCACCTTACTGGACTCAACTTCCGCTTTCATAGCCGATCTAGTAATCCGTTTAAACAAAGGTCGTTTATGCAACCTCTCGAAACTCACTCTTCAAACCATCACCAGACTCGCCATCGTCCCTACTTACCATTATACGAATTAAAACTGTTGTGCGTACATTCATGAAGGGGTTTTGTGACAAAATTTGAGACAAAAAGAAAATCGAGAAATTGAAAGATGGATTTAGAGGTTAAATTGGAAAAGAATCACTAAAAAGGAATTGAAGATGGTTGAATTTAGGGTTTTAGAATTTTTAGGGGATCGTTTGCGAGAACAAGAAGAAGGTGGGGGTTACACAACTTTTTTTTCAATATTTTTTTAAAGTTTAAACATGTTTTTAATCTTTAATTTATAATTTGTAATGTATTTATAATCTCCATAAAAGATTTATATATATATATATATATATATATATATATATATATATATATATATATATATATATATATATATATATATATATATATATATATATATATATATATATATATATATATATATATATATATATATATATATATATATATATATATATATATATATATATATATTAATATTGTTACCAAAATTAATTTAAATAAAAGTTAATTATTTATATAATAAAACAGAAAATATTTTACTATTATTTTAGATAAAAATATTAAGCTACGTTGTCATGAAAATTATAATAATTATAATAATTATTTATTATATTAATTAATAAAATTGAAAAGGTTAGAAAATAAAAATGAAAGAAAAAAGTGGAAAATTAAAGGAATAAAAAAATAGTGATTATGATTGGCTAAAGTAATTGCGACAGTTCGCCTTAACTGTCGCGAGTATGGAAAGAGGGCGGTTCTTTGGTAACTGTCGTATTATTTTATACAACATGTCTAAAAAATTTGCGACGGTTGACTCAAACCGTCGTGAGAACTGTCGTGGTCCAGGAATAAGGGCGGTTTTTTATAACTGTCGCAAAAAATCTACGACAGTTGACCCTAACTGTCGTGACAACCGTCGCAATCCAGGAATAAGGACGGTTTTGTGATAACTGTCACAACTCAAGTGTCGTAAATCTCCTTTTTTCTTGTAGTGTATATTTAGCAACCTCCCACTAGTTATAATGATTTACAGATGCCTTAGGAATCGTAGAAACTCATGGAATATCCTTATTCCCCGTGACCCTAAGAGAATAACTTTAAATGTGGCTGACCTTCTGTTTTACACTTAACTCTTTAAATAAACTTATGATTGTTTTTCGTTTCCCCCATCTGGTTACTTTAACACTTGCTTTAAATCTCTTGGAATTCCCCATCTTCCTTATCTTGCATTTCCTTCAACCGCTCATGACATCATGTAATGCAATATTTTCCTTGTGGTTTTTTGTTTTTTCTTTCTACTCATGATGTTTACTTGAGAGTGTGATTCATCTGGGAGAGTGATAGAGCTTTAAAACAATGTCGAGAGGTGTGGGCTTTGGACAAATTGCTTGAGGACTTCGAAATAGGGTATGGGTAAAGTAGATTAGAATTTTGTTGAGATAAAGCTTTTTGGTAGTTATGATAGTTCGTCTAGTGGTATTTTGGGAAGTAGATCGCCCATTGATAGCTACATTGACTTAATGTCTTTTTTCTAAGGTTTGTTTAGATCTGTCATGGCACTCTCAACTTCTAATCAAAGCTACTATTTTAAAGAGGCTATGAATATTGACTTAATTTGTCTTCAAGATGTTTGGGTACATGCTTTCTGGTTAGGCTTGGAGCTATATAATATTGGGAACGAGTCTGCCATTATACTGGAGTCGTGTATGACAAGCAAATATTTTTTCATACGGCGGTCTATGGAGGTGGGGGATGAGTATTTCTACTTCTATATTGGAGTTATTGAATATTTTAGGGTTGTTATTCCTTTTGCTCCCATTGAGGCTGACATTCTACATGAATATTCTTCTAATTCTTTGAGATGAAAGTTGTGAATATGGATGAATGGGTTTTTGAGAATCCCATCTCTGGGCGATCTCTTCCCCTATACTTCTAACTACAAGAAGGGAATGGATAAATTTGTCAAAGTTAATAGCATCACCCATTATCCCGAGATCATGTATGAAATAATGGGATACATAAGTTTACTCTTTACTAGACGAGCGAGCCTTTTGTTATCCATGATCTATGACCTACTTATACAATGATTTATATAGTTTTGGATGTTTATGCTTTGTTTACCTACCATGCTTTTAAAGACAAAAATTTAGAGTACAATGTGCATTTATTATGTACAGTCACTCTCATAAATGTTTTGCATGTTACGATATCTCTAACCATCACTTAAGCATTTCTTAGAATGTAACATTTTTGTGATAATCAATTATGTTTCTTTGTCTTTCTCCAACCATGAATGATATTGACATTCTTTTTAATTTTTCTATTATGGCTTAATATATTGAAAATTATTGGTCATAAAATGTATATGTCAGAAAATACAAACAACATGTTCTCATCCCCCTCCTATCGCTAATCAAGCACCTTATCTTGTATATATTGAATCATGGTATTATGGTTAAATATGTCGAGCATCAGATAGATATTCATAAAAAATATATGATTCCTTACATAAGGTTATTCCTACATATTACTCATAGAATATTAAAGATATACACCAGATAAAGGCAGTGAATGATGAAATTAGGGCTATTTAGGATAATTTTACATGTGATATTGTCTCCCATCTTCATGATATCAGACACATTGACTACAAATGAGTGTTGTGTGAAATAAAAAATTTGTGTGGTAAAAGTACTTTATTTACTACTTGATGCTAGAACAAAGACTCCCTCTTATTCCACAATTGCCACAAGTTGAGTCGAATATTCTAGTGTCGCCGCAACCAGAGCAACAATTGGCTTGTAAGACTGTTTTGAATTTGTTTTCTGTAGGGAGAATCATATATTATATATAGGGAGAATCAAATAAGAAATACTAATGTTTAGGAATTAAAAACAATAATTGAAAAATCATGTCTAATCTATCTCAGGAGAAATTAAGGAAAAACATATCAATGAATAAAAATAAATAATAACGATTAATTACAGCCAACAATTAGAATATGGAACTTGCGCACTCTTTCATACCTTAGTGTCGCAACTGCGAAAAACCACCAGCGAAAAAAACAGAAGATTCGCCACTTTCGTTATTTATCCCAAAGAGAGGGAAGGAAACGATCGCAAAAACCTAAAGAAAAAGGAAAAGACAAAGTCATCGCAACCATGCCTGGATTCGGGAGTCGGTTACGCAAGGGGAAGGTATTAGCACCCCTCACGTCCGTCGTACTCGATGGGATCCACGCATTGTTGTCTATCTAAAAGGGTGTGTTGATACTATCTAGATAAAGGCTTAAGGACAAAAGAAAAAGAAAAGAGAAACTGACTCGGCAGAGCATCGCCGCTCCGTGCCTACGTACTCCCTCGTGCATTGGGGAAGTCAGAGTCAACGTAGTTCGCCTAACTATGGGTGAAAAGGGGAAGGTTGCTCGCCGAGACATCGCGTCTCGTACCTACGTACTTTCGTCTAGTACGAAAGATCAGAGCAAACGTAGTTCGGACTAAAAGGACCACAAGTTGGTTCAAAAGTTTTTTAGGCCCGAGTAGGGTTAACAGATAGTTCTAGCAGTTGGTGTATACAGCTCGACCATTGGAGACTTAGGCGTTACCGTTTGCGGGGGAACTAAGAGTTAACGACACTCTTTTTGTGAAAAGATTTTCCTTGATTAAGAACCCCAAAGGGTGAAAAAGGTTTGAAGTGTTTTTGTGTTTTTTAGAGAAGAAGTGTTTTGAATTTGATTTGCAACTCATGTCGCACTAGAGACTATGACCTAAGAGCGAATGCGTTGTATATCACCCAAAGGGTGTACACTAAACACTCTAGGTCCTTGAGAGGAGGCCCCTCAATTACCATTTCTCAAGTAGCTTAAGGCTCGTAGCGTGCTACACTGGTCATTCTTTATTAAGTGTTTTATGAATGTTTGAAGATGAGAAGAGAAGAAGGAACACTAATGGGAGACTAGTTAATCCTAAAAGTTATCATGCAAAGTGGACCTAAAGTTGAGTTTCAAAAGGGAACTACCTAATGTTATCATGCATGGTTAGGCACCTAATGTCTATCATAACCTCAAGAGGTTAGAGAAATTATGGGGAGCATGGCAAAGAAAAGCTAAAGAAGAAGAAGAAGAAGAATAAGAAATGCATATGCAAATGAAAATGCAAACATAAGATGCAACACATAGAATGATAGTGGGAGGAAAATAGTGTGGGGTAGTAGCCACCACAAGCTCATCTCAACCAAGCATGCATATGGAAATGCAACAAAAGAGAAGAAGGAGAAGTGCATAAGAAGAAATCAATCCAAGAAAAGCAAACCACACAAATATGCACCAAAAAGTGGGATGAAATGACCTAAGTCAAACAACATCAACCACACCAATAAAATTAAACCAAATGAAAGGTAAAACAAAAATCAAAGCCAAGTGAGGATGGGAGACCAAATGAGGGCAGCAAGGACCCCATAATAGGTACTCAACCATAAACATCACTTATCAAAATCAAAGAAACACCAAAAGTGTCCTCAAGGATTCATCATTCTAGGTATGCTTCAAATAACTCCAAAGGAAGG